TATTTTTCTAGATAGTTGTCCATTTCTTCTAGGTTACCCAGTTTGTTAACATATAATTTTTCATACTATTCTCTGGTTATTCTTTGTATTTCTGTGCTGTCTGTAGTGATTTTCACTTTCTCATTTCTGATTCTGTTTATGTGTATAGATTCACTTCTTTTCTTGATAAGTCTGCCTAGGGGGTTATCTACTTTGTTTATTTTCTCAAAGAACCAGCTATTGGTCCCATTAATTCTTTCTATTGTATTATGCTTGTCAATTTTTTAAATTTATTCTCTGATCTTTATTATGTCCCTCCTTCTACTGACTTTGGGCCTCATTTTTTCTTTTCTTTACAGTTTCAGTAATTGCGAATTTAGACTGTTCATTTGGGATTGTTCTTCCTTCCTTAAATAGGTCTGGATTCCTATATACTTTCCTCTTAGAACTGCCCTCACTGTGTCCCCCTGAAGTTGGGTCATTGTGCTGTTGTTTTCATTTGTCTCCATATATTTCTTGCTCTCTGTTTTTATTTGGTCATTGATCCATTGATTATTTAGGAGCATGTTGTTAAGCCTCCAAGTGTTTGTGAGCCTTTTCATTTTCTTTGTACAATTTATTTGTAGTTTCATACCTTGTGATCTGAAGAGTTGGTTGGTAGAATTTCAGTCTGTTTGAATTTGCTGAGGCTGTTTTTGTATCCAATATGTGATCTACTCTGGAAAATGTTCCATGTGCACTTGAGAAGAATGTGTATCCTGCTGCTTTTGGATAGAGTGTTCTATAGATGTCTGTTAGGTCCACCTGTTCTAATGTGTTGTTCAGCTCCCCTGTCTCCTTACTTATTTTCTCTCTGGTTGATCTGTCCTTTGGAGTGAGCAGTGTGTTGAAGTCTCCTAAAATGAATGCATTCTGTTCTATTTTCCCCTTTAATTCTGTTAGTATTTTTTGTACATATTTGGGTGCTCCTATGTTAGGTGCATAGATATTTATAATGTTTATATCTTCTTGTTGAACTGATGCCTTTATCTTTATATAATGTCCTTCTTTGTCTCTTGTTGTTTTCTTTGTTTAAAGTCTATTTTGTCTGATACAAGTACTACAACTCCTGCTTTATTTTTCTCCCTATTGTTTGCATGAAATATCTTTTCCCATTCCTTCACTTTTAGTCTGTGTATGTCTTTGGGTTTGAAGTGAATCTCTTGTGGACAGCATATAGATAAGTCTGTTATTTTACGTCTTTTTATTGGTGCACTCAGTCCATTTATATTTAGGGTGAATATGAATTGATATGTACTTATTGCCATTGCAGGCTTTGGATTCGTGGTTACCAAAGGTTCAAGGGCACCTTCTTTACTAATTAGCAGTCTGCCTTAACTCTCTTATTATGCTATTATAAACACAATCTGATTCTTTTTTTCCCTTCTTTTTCTTCCTCCTCAACTCTTTATATCTTAGGTATCACATTCTGTGCTCTTTGGGTATCCTTTGACTAGCTTTGCAGGTAGCTGATTTAATTTGGCATTTGGTTAGTATTTAATTGGTCTACTTCTTTTGTTGTTTTTTATTTTCTCTGGTGACAACTGTTTAGCCTTAGGTGCACTTCCATCTAGAGCAGTATGTTTAAAATACCCTACAGAGACAGTTTGTGTGAGGTAAATATCCTCAACTTTTGCTTATCTGGGAATTGTTTAATCCCTTCTTCAAATTTAAATGATAATCTTGCTGGGTAGAGTATTCATGGTTCAAGGTCCTTCTGCTTCATTACACTGAACATATCATACCACTCCCTTCTGGCCTGTAAGGTTTCTACTGAGAAGTCTGATGATAGCCTGATGGGTTTTCCTTTGTAGGTGATCTTTTTTCTCTCTCTGGCTGCTTTTAATACTCTGTCCTTGTCCTTGATCTTTGCCATTTTAATTATTATATGTTTTTAGTGTTGTCCTCCTAGGGTCCCTTGTGTTGGGAGATCTGTGCACCTCCATAGCTTGAGAGACTATCTCCTTCCCCATATTGGGGAAGTTTTCAGCAATTATTTCTTCAAAGACACTTTCTATCCTCTTTTCTCTCTCTTCTTCTTCTGCCACCCCTATAATGCGAATATTGTTCCGGTTGGATTGGTCACACAGTTCTCTTAATATTCTTTCATTCCTAGAGATCCTTTTATCTCTCTCTGTCACAGCTTCTTTGTATTCCTGTTCTCTGATTTCTATTCCACTTACTGTTTCCTCTACCTCATCTAATCTTTTAGATGCCTCCATTGTTTGTTTCATTTCAGTTACTGTATTTTTAAGTTGTCTATCCCCTACCTGAATTTGTCCCTCAGCTCTTGAATATTTTTCTGTACCTCCATTAGCATGCTTATGACTTTTATTTTGTATTCTTTTTCAGGAAGATTGTTATTTCAGTTTTTGAGGGATGGTGTTTGAGGGATCTTGCATTGAACAAGGTTCCTCTGCCTTTTCATAGTCCTGGAGTGATGGGAGTGGTCACAGGTGAGTGGTGCAGGTGTCTTCTGGGAGGACAAAATCCCTTCCTGTCTCTCCTATCTGGGCCAGTTAGCCATGCACAGGGAGAAGCCTCTGCCTTAAACTGTGTAGTTGTTGTAGGCAGGACTGCCCTCCGGCTGGTCTGCAGCAATGGCAGGGATAGTGGGTTTGCGTGCAGGTCCCAGCAGGGTGGGAAGAAGAGGCAGACTACTTACCACAGTGAGGGTCTTGGGTCTGTGTTTCCAACCAGGGGGATGGAGCACCTGAAGCTCCTGAAAGTTCCCAACTGCTGGGCTGAGTGTGCCGGGATGATTTTGTCCACATGTCCCTTCTTCTAAACCCTTGCCCCTTTAGCAGCCCTTTCACTGTTGAGAAGCCATTCAAAGTGTCTTCTTTTCTTTTGTCCCAGGGCAGCCAGTTGTGGGAACCTGTTTGCAGTCTTAGTCTCTGACTTCAGTTTTCAGCCCCTGTAATCTCCAGAGCACCATGCAATGTGGGTCTGTGCTGCCGGAGTAGATTTCTAGGGCTGGGTTTTTAGCAGTCCTGTGTTTCCACTCCCTCCCCATTCTGATTCTCTTCCTCCTGCATTGAACTGGGGTGGGAAGAGTGCTCAGGTCCTGCCAGGTCACCGCTTTTTTACTTTACCCTTTTCCATGAGATGTTCACTTCTCCCAGAAGTAGACTGGCTGGTGTACCTCTTACTTCTGGTCACTCTTTTAGGAATAGTTATATTTGCTGTATTTTCAACATATACGTGGTTTTGGGAGGAGATTTCCACCACACTTCTCATGCTGCCATCTTTTTTCCTCCAATCTTTAATGATTTTTTTGCATATTATATTTTCCTAAATTACTGAGATGTGTTAAAATCATTTTTACATCTCCTATTATGGAAATTAAAAGCTATCTCTGTTCTTTAATAAGTTTTATTATAAATGGCAATATTCATACTTAAGTCATCAAACTCACAATTATTCACCAATGCTCTCCTCCAAAACAATTCAGAGTCTTTAGAACATTTGATCTACATCAAAAGGCATATACTGAATATGCTTTTGACAATTCTGTGTCTAAAAACTTTGGAGGTTTCTACCTGTTCTCTTTCATTTTTCTTTCTTCCTATTCAGGGTGCATCTTTGTATTGTATACTTAGGTATATTAACTGTGAGATACATTTTCCCCCCATATTAAATATCTTATAGGATTCTTTGTGTCCTAAAGAGGATTTTGCTAGGTTTTCCTGGATACATATTAGTTCTCTTGCCCAGTCCCACTTTCCTCCACTGCAACAGTCTTGACCCCCATTGCAATAGTAGAATAAAATCTTTTTCGCCATTTTAATGAGAGTCAGAATAAAATTTCCTTCACAGGCTAGTGTTGCAACTCAGATAAGATCAGATTCATCATTGTACCTCCAGAATTCTCACTTCATTCCAGGAACATACCTGGTAAACGTTGTCTTCATTCCTGAGTCCCATCCACTCCTACCACCTATTCCCTAGCAAGACCAAACTAAGGAAGTAACATTTAAACCTTTATCTTGGTTCAAATTCCATGATTAAAGCATTCCCCATTTCCCAAATGGAAAGGCAGAAATTTATTAAACATTTCAGGAGGTCTTGGGTGATTACTCTCTGCAATTTCCCAACTTATGTCAGCTTACTGACTTATTTGTGGGACCCAGAAGTGCCTCTTTTTGTTTTAAGAAACCTAAATGGACTACTATCTTGGAAAACCTTAAGTGATCTCAAACCCCTTCTGAGTCCAGTCAGAGAGTAAGATCATTAAAGAAAAACTATTTAAGGCCATTTTAAAGTTTATCCTATTAAAATGGATTGGTCAAGTACTCAAAATGGTAAACAACTAAGTGATATAACTGTGGCAAATTATTACCAACAATTAGAAGCCACAGTTGGCCCTTGAACACCACTGGTTTGGGCTGCATGGGTCCACTTATATGCATTTTTTTCCAAATAAGTATATTGGAAAATTTTTTGGAAATTTGCAACAATTTAAAAAAAGTTACTTTTCTCTAGCTTACTTTAAGAATACAGTGAAAATATTTAAGAATACAGTCAAACACACAAAATATATGTTAATTGACAGTTATATTTTCAGTAAGGCTTTCAGTCAACATATATATTCTATGTGTACCTATGTATGACTGTGCATAATTACATTTTTATAGTGAATATTATATACACTGTTTTTGCCTCTTTTTTTCACTTTACAATGTATCTTCAAGACTGTCCTAAATTTGTCCAAATAGAGCAGCCTTGTCAATGAGTTACTGACTAGTGTTCCAATATGTGTACATGTTAAATTTATATTACCAATTTATTTAAAGAGATGTAAAAGTAGTTTCCAATCTTTTGTCATTTAAAGTAATGTCTTGGGCTTCCTGTCCATCACATAAAATCATATATCATATATATATATATATATATATATATATATTTCACACATACNTATGTTATATTTCCTAAAAGTTAACATTTTATATATCAAAGCATCATGCATTTATTCTACCTAATGTGGGCCAATAAAAAAACTTGAAATTTTTTATTTAAAACTTTGTGGTATGAAAGTAAAATGCATACACACCAAAAATAGGCCATAACATATATACACATTCTCTAAGTTGTTTAAAAGGTGAGCTAATTCATTTAAGTAGTGAGTTTATCCAAGAAGTTTGCCAGGAAAAGAAAATATTGAAGTGATATCATGGCAAAGTCTGTCCAGAACTACTGCCAACCAGACACATTCATCATTTTTAGTAGCATCAATCATCTTTTTCAATTGCTTTATCTCTGCATTCATCTCTTCAGATTTCTTTCTAAATCCTTCATTAAGAAGATCTTCTTGGATCTAAAAAAAAATAGTGAGGAGGGAAGTAAAACTTTTAAAATCCCCATGTTTCAAGAATTACATTTTGTATGTAGGTACTTTGTCAAATACCTTTCACTCTTAATACTGTTCTCCCTTAATCATTTTGCAACAAGAAATATCTCCTGGCTCAGACCAGAATATTGAAAGGAAACATAGTTTACAGCCTTACCATTGTCCACACACTATTAGGGTTTTGCTAGGATGCTAAGCCTGACATGAAGACAAACAGAATATGTTCTTGTCAAAAAATGTCAGTTGCAAAGTAGCCTTGATATGATTACCCTAATTCTGTCCCACATTTGAGTGATTGTACTGGTTGGTGGTGTGGACACACAGGGGACAGAGATTTCTCCCCTTCCCTTCCAATTTGAGTTGGTCCCAGGAGGATAGAGATCAGTCCTCACTTCAGGAAATCTCTGAGTTCCTGTGTGTCCACACCATCAATTGGTACAAGCACCCAAATGGAGAAATACTGGAAACTTGTAAGCTCTTCTAGAAATCTGTTATCAACAAGCCCAGGTGGATAATGAGAGAATTCTACCTATATCCTACAATAACTTGGGTACATGGTATGCACCTGGAGAAAATGCAGCACGTTAGAAGCATGTTAGAACACTTCTTTGTGTTTTTAAGTCTGTACATTTCTGATAGTTTTATGTCATAATAGATATTTATATCTATATCTATAATAGTTTTGTATCTATATAGATAATTTATATGTAGTAATAAACAATACCTCAGAGTTTGGGGATGGAAGTAAGGTATCTGATAATTGCCAGTGATCTTGGTAGAGCAAACCAGTTGTTGCTCATATTAAATACACATGGTTGGACTAACTGCTTCATAAAGCCTCTGGGATCATTTTAAAACCCCCAAATGGGCAACTCAACTATCTATATTCTACTAGCATTTGGAGGGGCTATGCTCACTCTGAACTCTCCAGAGTCTACATGGAATAGAATTCAAAAGCCTCTTTAAAAAAACAGATTCAAAGGATTCAGGATTTTAATGAGTCACAAGCAGTAAATTGCAATGATTCTTCCTTCCATGACCGTGTTGTAGTCTCCACCCGTCGCTGAGGTACCAGGACAATGACCGTCAAGCGCCACTAAGACCACAACTGGACTTACCCTCAGCTTGTGCTCCAACATCATATCCTGTTCTCTGATCATGTTTTCTCTTTCCCTCTCCAGCTTCTCAGTCAATTGAACTATGTTTTCCTGGAGACTCTTCTGTTGTGCCTCCATCTGTTCCTGCTGCTCCTGGAGTTTCTGACTTAGCGACTCCTGTTCCTTTTCGGCTGCCTCCTTATTGGCCCGCTCCACTGTCCCAGGAAAGGTTAGAGATGAAAATTAAGTGAGGACAGATCTCTACCCTCCTGAGACCAACCCAAACTGGAAGCGAAGGGGAGAAATCTCTGAATTCCCTGGGTGTCTACATCATCAAGAGCACATTTCAGAATGTGGTAGGAAAAGCCCGGTCTGGCTGACATACAACCACAACACCCCTTGTTTTTAGATTTAGCAAAGTTGTTTCCCAGAAGAGAAAAAAGCTCCCTGTTTTAGGGACATTTTTCTCTGACGCTTGTCAGAGGGCACAAAAATCTCCCCACCCCACTGTGAGCCAAAGCCTGCCCCATACCTGCTATGGCCTTTTCCCCTTGAGTGAGGGCTTTATCTGCCTGCAGGATGGATTTCTCTATTGCTACCTGTGACAGCAGGAAGCTCTGGAAGACCTCATTTGCCTGAGGAAGCAAGAAGGTGCAAAGAACTTAGATTCCCACTGAGACTTGTTCTGTAGCAACAGGTCCATTCATATCATTTTTAGTTTCTGCTTAGAATAGTCCAGATCCACCTAAGAAGTGTCCAAGCTCCTTAGTGTGGACATCAGCTAACCATAGCTTCCTCCAGTCCCTCTCCCAGGCCTATTTCCCTCTATCCACTCAAGGTCCCAGCTGGTCAGAGTCATGTGCGTTCGTACATACCCGCAGTGTCTGGTGCCTTTACATATTTGCCTTACCAGTGTGAAATGCTGCCTCTAATCTGTGCGGCTGCTCTCCTCTACCACTTGTCAGCTGGAAGGCGAGTTATTTTAACCTCCTATTCCTTTCAGTGCAGATCTATGAAATGTTGACCATAAATGTAGATGCTTCTTAATGTTATTAAGGAGTCTAGGGAAAGAGCTTAACAATATGCTGATGGGCAATAACCATTCAATACATATTAGCTGTATTTTTATTAACATTATTACTTTACTATTTTTTTATTATGTTGGTACCACCACATAATGTAGCCCATTTTCACAGGTGTGTAGTTGTTATAACTCTATACTTAATTTTCTATGTATTTGACCTCCTCTCTTACTTTTAATTAGCCTTGTGTACGATGACTCTGACTTTAACTTGTAAATTGTCAACAGTTGGAACACTAAATGTCACATTGTTGGATTAAGAAGTGAATCATTTCTCTTCTGTCCCTCAAGGATTTCAGAAATCCATACTCATTTTTTTGGAAATGGTCATTTCTACTCTTCTCTGGAATAAGTAGCAAATAGTGGAACTTAAAAGCTAATGCTGTCATACTATCCCCATGCTCTCTTGTTACCCACAGCTAGTGCTGTACTCTCAGATTTTTCAGGAGACCCCCTCTTGACCCTATCCTGTAGGCTCCCTGTGCTCCCCGTACCCCTCACCTTCACTCCTTTCCTTGGCACTTGCCAATAGCTCTGTCCAATCATGTGCTTTGCTTCCCTGTACAGCTTGTGCCCTCCAGGAACAGAGAAGATTCCTGCTGAAATATTTTCCGTTAGTGCCTTTGAAAGCTGATTAAGTGTAGCCTGGCAGTATTTGACAGATTCCAATTCATTCTGTAGCAAGAAATCCTCCTGCTTATCCTTTATGATTTCCTGCAAGGGAAATGTAGAGAGATGTCACCAGAAGAAGGGAACAAAAGAGATACAATTCCAAAGAGTCTGGTAAAAGGATTGGTCTAACTGTGGTCCTCAAGAGAAAAGCATTTCATTGGAGAAGGGCATGGAATAAAATAGGAACCACAAGACTTGATTTACTCACTACCCTGAAAACTCTCTGCAAGACTATGGGAAAGCTGCGTAACCTCACTGGGTCTCAGGTTCTTCTTCTGAAATGTTGGAGTTGCATTACCATCTCTGTGGTTCTTTGCATCCAGTGATTCCGTCTTGCATGAGACAGTGACAAAAGAAGCAATTAAGTTAAATAGTGGCCTGGAATGAGGGTCTAGTAAGAGAAATTTCAGTTGTTGGCATGGGAGTGTGTTCACAGAAATAACAACCAGCTCAGGAATGACTTTCTGGGGAGGCTTGGAACCATATACTGATTTTGCCTCAGAGATCAGAAATAGAGAGATTTCTAGGTACAACAGTCCTTGAGGTTTGGGAGAAAATAGAAAGGAAATTTAGTCCTTTGAAACTCCATCCCTCTTGACAATCCAACTACTTTATCCGTAAGTGAGAGATCAGCAGTGGGGTTAATTAAGGCATTTCTAGGCTTCCTTCTTCAAGGGGAAGGGTGACAAAGGGTAAATCTTAAGACATCCTACCACAAGATTCTTCTGAAACTCTTGATTTTCATCCTTGAAGGAGTGCTCCATAAAGACTGCAATGGCTTCCCTCTCACAGGCCATGTGCACGTCCAGCAGCTCCTGGAGTGTATCTGTGGGGAGCCTCACTCGCTGGGCCATCTGCTCACTGTAGCAGTCGGCTGCCTTCTGCACAGCCGCTGAGTTCTCAAGCTGGGCCAGAACTGTTATTGCATTCTCCAAGCAAGGCACTGCTCCACTACTGACAACATCCACATAGTTCACCACCAGAGTCCTCAGCCCTGAGTAAGCCAGGAAATCAAAGAGATAAATATCAAGTTATCACTCGGTAGGATCCAAGATTCTGAGATGTCTCATACACACGCACACGCACACACACACACACCTGTCTCTTTCTACTATCATCATCAGTTTCCTATTGAATCTTCATCTCCATGGTTCTCCAGGCAACAGGGCTAAAAATAAAAATAAAATCTGCCTTCATCTAACATAGTAAGGTTATCTGGAAAACATAATTTCCCATTAAAAATTAAAAGCAAAATGGATTATACAGGTAGGCAGAGGAGACAGGGTAAATCAGATCATATGCTGAAGCTTCCAATGGATTTTCAAGGACTTATGAGCTAATATTTATTTTTAGATGGCTCTAAACTTCCAAAATGTCTTTTGTATTTTCCTTACAAAGAACACTTACCATATAGAACTTACCCTGAAAAAAATAGCATATTCTATTTTTAAACCCAGTTAGTGATTTTTATTACCAGTGGGGGATATTTTGAGATAAATGAAAGCCACAGATATCAGTGACATTTCCAATTGGGGGAGGGATTCACAAGCCTCCAAAAGTGAGGTATAAAATACATTTGTTCACAGAGCATGAATGTCTGTATACCCAGAAGTCCACACAGAATCAAACAAAAATTCTGAAAAACACATTATATAATATGTTCAACATTTATTAGCTCCCACAGAAATGTGAAAAGGAGACTCACGATTCCCAGTCACTATGATTCCCTCTCTGAGGGTCTTGGTCTTTGCATGGGTGAAGATGTAAGAACAGAAATTGTTTGTTTGCTCTAGGAATTGAGGATCCAGTTGATCTTCACGCACATTCTCCATTTTGGCTAGGAGTTTTTTGTCATTTGTTGGGCGATCAAAGACAAAACACTTCCTTTTTGGAAAGAAATGCCTGATACATTCTCTGGGTAGATTGGATGCTTGGATTCTGGGATTGTTGCCTGAAGGATAGGGAAAACAGAGGTTATAGTGGGAACGGTCTTGAGGCAGGGAGCTCAAGCTTCCTACGATAGGGACTTCGGTCTCATTGCCATCTTCTTATAAGTCTTCAGCATAGACATTCAGTGCTTCTTTTCACTTCAAACTCATACCGATGACATGACTGCAGAGAAATTTGAAGAGACATCTGATTCAAGTAAAAGAAACCTATGGCTGGCCTCCCTAGACCTGGACATGGTAGAGTAGGTGTCCATTAGATGTTTACTGAATGAATGGCTAAAAGAAGAAAAGGTCAAATGTAACTTTTTGGTCTAATGTAGAATTTGAACTGTGGGATCAAAAAGAGCCACAAACAAGGGGTAATGGTACACTATTAGCAATCATAATATTAGGAGTATTATGAATGAAACCCTGATTATTTAAGGAAAACTGATGCTAAAAGTAATTTGTACAATGGTAGCTATAGCAAAAAGCCTCTGAAGAGTAAATGTAACTAAAATGCAATTTTAAGATATTACCACTACTTTATAAACTCTTTGAGGTACTTTATGTTTGAGTTAGCAGGATTGCTCTTCTACATGGTCAGTTTCTCCATAAATGCTTTGGGAAAGCATAAATAGAAAAATGAAAGCAAGAATGGGTAAATCTGAATTGATCTTTCTCTCAGGGTTTCATCAGTTACACTTTATTATAAATGTAACCCATTGAAATATATTTTTTGAAATTATAGCATGGGTAAATATATGGGGATTAAGAGACAGTTATGATAAGGAAGTTAAATTAATGTTCTGGTAATTGTCAGGAATATTGGAAAGGCATAGATTAAAAAGACATACACTTCTTCAGGTTTACTTAGAACATGTCATTTTTCTATATGATATACCGATACAGGCACTAGAAAATTATATCCATCTTTGAGAAGGTTAATGTCTGTGTAAAATGTACTTTTTTTATAAGATAGGCTCTTCATTGTAATTTCATTCCTAGCGTATATTTGGTCAGTTGTTTTCTTCAGCACAGAAAAACAGATGCCAAAATAGCAAACACAAGTGTCTGGTTTTTAGAAGGTTTAAGCACCTACTGTGATTTGGATGCTAAATCACAACAAATTGTTTGAAGAACAAATTGGTTTTGAATAATTTCACTCTTCTTTAGGTTCTACTTTTCTTAAGTAAACTTAAACTACAGTCCCTAGAGCTTTGCAACCCACCTTCCAGTCACTATTTCTAGAACTTCAATCTAGTTTTAAATATAAAAGCAATCCCAAAGATGATAGACAGTGATTAGAAGCTCCCACCCTCTATTTGACCATCCACTGCCCAGGTAGACTCTGATACCTGGGATCAACTTCAAGGAATTCTCCAGGTACTCATCTTCTGTGATAGGATAACCATCTAACTTCAGCTCCAGGGTAAAATCCCGTACAGTCCAGATAAAGTCTGGGAAGAAACTCACAAATTCTGTGGAATCTTCTACTCCATCTTGTCTTAAGGAAGACTTTGCCCGGATTAGTTCTGTGAGCTCTGTCACGTAACTAGAACTTAGTTAAGGAAAAGGAACTTCCTACCCACAGTTTCTACATTTCTCTAATAAAAATTTATTATAAGCCCTCTCTTTTGCCCTGGGTCCTCTCTGTTCAACAGAAAGTAACTAAATGACAAGAAATTTATTCAATTCAATGAAACTTGATGGTTTAGGTCCTGCAAGGATACTGCAGCTGCTCCAGGGCCTGGTGGTTGATGGTATTTATGCTGTTATAGACAAAACTGCTGCTCAGAAGCACGGCCAGGGCAAAGATCCACGAGTCATTCTTAAGGTCACCCTAGGAAGCACATTGAGTGAGAGATTGAAGAGTTTACTCTTTAGAAATTGATTCAGGCATGTATTCTATTAGTCTTCTATTTTTTTTATTTCAGCTAATGTATTTGCTATCTGTTTGAAGACAGACACAAATATTTTGACAATTACAAAGACATTTCTTATGATTGCCAATTTATATATATATAAAGACTCTAATATTCACAAGGATTTCTTTTTCCACAGTAGGACGAAATAAAATACTAGAAAAACTAGTATGGTACCTGGTACGTGATTAGGTTTCCAATGATGAGTGTTAGCACTTACTCATTTTACACTTACTCATTGGTCATAGGCCATATAAAACATGCCAGAGCTAACATAGCTAGGGATTCAAATTATATCCAATTTAATTCATCAAATGTTTATGGGAAGCTATTGAATATATCCCACTGTTAAAGATTTTAAAAGTAAAATGACCACCATTATTTTCAAATTGACTATTTCAAAGTGATGATAAATATCTGAACAATGAATACAACAAAGATGATGGTACCTATATGTCAAGATATTAGTAATCTTACATCTTAATAATTTGTATCAGCAGTGGAGCCTATAACTATAATGTTAAATTATAATTTAGAATTCTATCAAGGAAGAACAGAACTATCAAAGTTGAAAGACCTACTGGAAGTCTTGGGCTGAGTGTTAAAGAATTGGTAGAATGTAGACATGAAGAAATGAAGGTGATCCCACCTGGAAAGACTCACAGTAGCAAAATTAGAGGTGGTAGAATACAGGGATCTTTGCAACAAAAATAGTTATTTGACTTGACTGGAGTGGAGGGCAGGCACAGAAGTTAAGGCTTGATGAAGCTCTAGTGCAGCCTGATGGGGGCCTTAAAGGCCAGGCTAATCTGTTTGTCTAAGTAATAGCATAATCCACAATTATTTCAACTATACACAGCATGTGAAGCTGTTTCCTAGAGCCAATGAAAACACTGGGATTGATGCCTAGAAGACATTATATGGGAGTTTGGGGGGAAAATAGCCTATTCATTACTATATTTTCCCAAATACCAATTTTTTTAAGTAAGCATTTAGAATAAGAAGTGGCACTTATGACAAAGCAAATTATTTAGACAACAAGGCTATATCAATGTTTGATATATGGCTTTAAAATTTAAACAGAATTTCTAACTATCCTTTGGGTAGAAATGGACAGCTACAGAAATTTAGATACTATTTCCAAATGTGTCTCAAATAAGGCACGAATGGAGAAATCATTCATTTCACCCATCAGTAGAAATCCAAAATACCAAAAGCCCATATAAAATGTTTGTTGTAGGACAAACACGTGGTGTTCTAGAACCATCACATTCACAGATCTCAAAGCCTCTCTGAATGCTCTGTGGGTAGTTGATGAACTTCACCATGGGAACTGTGAACCCAACTCTAATTTCAACCCTCAAATACACACTTCATCTGGTAGCTCAGAAGGTGAATCAGAAATCTTTCTTCATCCCTGGGATGGAGTTGATGTTTCTTCACTTTCCTACCAAGGCACCCTTATGTGTAACTGCTTGTGATAGGAACTGTAATGTCCATCAGCCCTTTCAAGACTAAAGGATTTATTCCCCCGGCTATTAGGAGTGCTGATGGAAGACAGCTCGCAAGTTTCACTCCTCTTAATTAAAATAAGTCTCCTGGAGCAGCTGTTCCATGATTTATCAGCACCTTCATCCCATCTCAGGATAACTCAAAGGGCCAAGGCAGCCACAGAGCTCCCATGGAACCTACAGAAGTCAAGTATTGCACTGCAGTCCAGCTCTTCCCTCTCTCCAATCTGCTTCTTTCCCAGTCACACTTTATTACATCTGACTGCATGTGTGTGATCTTTTCAACTGAACTGAAGAGTCTGAGGGCAAGACCTTTGCTTTGGTAACTAATATTCACAGCACTAAGACCAGAGGCCTGCAACTCAGCTGTTCAATAATCATTTATTAATTTTAGTCAAATAATTCACCCAGTGCCAAGAAAGAATTTATCTAATACACCATGTCTTATCCCACCTAGAAGTAAGATTCAAACAAACCAGTTTGCATCATTTGCTATAGTTGAATTTCTAGATTTTCCAAAAAGATCACAATAGTTAACTTTTAAAATATCAAGAATAGATAAGTAGAAAATCCAGAATAGATAGGATTTGTCTGTGACCCTGTGCCTTACCTTTGCCAAATCCCCCAGGCCCTCGGTGTCCAGAAGGACCAGGGTGTGGTTCGGCATGGAGGGGTGAGGCACACACCACATCCAGATGCCCTTGGTTTCAGACTGCACTGTGGAGCCCAGAGGGAAACCTGAAGGGAAGAGGAGAAGGCAACATACATCAACAGATTTCCTCAAGACTTTCTTCTTACTTTGTGTGTTGTCTATTTCCAGGAGAAGAGGATGTTAACTATGAGAATGTGCCAATCAAGGGCTCAGGGTGGAGACAAAGAGGTATCCATGAATCAGACGGAACAGAGGTCACTGATAACCATCACAAGTGCATTTTGAAAGAATGGTGAGGTTCAAGGCCAGAGGAAAGTGGATTGAGAAGAGACATGAGAAGAGAAAAAATGGAAAAAGGAAATTGAAATCATATTTTTTTTTTTTGCCAGACAACATGATTAACAGAAAAGGGATTAGGGGGAAGGTTGGTACCCACAGTGGGATGTGAAATCCAGGCAAGGTTTTTTAAATGGTAGATATTCAAACACCTTTATATGTTGATGGGAATATTCCAAGGAAAACAAAATGTGTTTTGAGAGAGAGGAGATGCAGTTACAAGAGCTCAGTGCTTGAGCAGGTAAAACAAGACAGGATTCTGAGCATTAGGAGACATTTTTTTTGACAGGAGTAAAACAAAAAGTATGATAAGAGATTAGAGTCAGGTAGTAATTTAGTGGTGAGAATTAGAATTTAAAGACTGGTTTTTTTGGGAGGTATTTGGTCCTCCCTTTATGTGACCAAGGAAGAAAATTAAGAAGCCAAGATATAGCTAGAGTCAAGAATTGGCCCCTCAGTACAGTCCTCACCGCAGTTCTGTCCTGCAAGGCGGTTCATCAAGTAGGATTTGCCTGTACGGTACAGTCCTACAATGGCCACCACCACCACTGGCTGAGAAATCTTGTCAAGAATCTCTATCGCTCTCTGGTTCACTGACAGCTGCTCATGGTTGTTTTCCACCAGACAGATGGGGACCGTCATGTTGGGTCCAGATGCCATGGCACCCTGCCAACCTAGATGAACCTCCCAGGAAAAATAAGGTTACAAAGTCATTCTCTGATTCAGAGCCATAAATATAGGACTGGGTGAGACCTCTGTAGTTTCTATGGGGCAAAATGTAACCTACAGTTAGACTGCAGAGGGCTTCTTCTATCATGTTCCCAAATCTCTGATGATGTCAGTGATAAAACATAGGGTATTATTACTCCCCAAGTTTTATTGCATCAGTAATTATAAAATTCAAGCAGTTGTCACTATGCATGGAGGTTTACCCACCATCTACCAAGCCCTGTGATACACACCTGGCTTCACTAATATAAGACCCTGCAAATCAGAGATCATTGGACCCACTTTGCAAATGAGATTAGCAAGTTTTACAAAGGCTAAGTGAATAAATCATAGAGCCAGGATAAAAAGTCTAGACAATTGAGCAAAATGTCAGACTAGGAAAATCTAAGCTCTTGTTTCCCCAAGAAGACATCAAAACAACAAACATATTGGCTAGAATAACCTGAAAAACAGTCAAAGGCCTAAAGCAACCGNGCCTATTTCCCTCTATCCACTCAAGGTCCCAGCTGGTCAGAGTCATGTGCGTTCGTACATACCCGCAGTGTCTGGTGCCTTTACATATTTGCCTTACCAGTGTGAAATGCTGCCTCTAATCTGTGCGGCTGCTCTCCTCTACCACTTGTCAGCTGGAAGGCGAGTTATTTTAACCTCCTATTCCTTTCAGTGCAGATCTATGAAATGTTGACCATAAATGTAGATGCTTCTTAATGTTATTAAGGAGTCTAGGGAAAGAGCTTAACAATATGCTGATGGGCAATAACCATTCAATACATATTAGCTGTATTTTTATTAACATTATTACTTTACTATTTTTTTATTATGTTGGTACCACCACATAATGTAGCCCATTTTCACAGGTGTGTAGTTGTTATAACTCTATACTTAATTTTCTATGTATTTGACCTCCTCTCTTACTTTTAATTAGCCTTGTGTACGATGACTCTGACTTTAACTTGTAAATTGTCAACAGTTGGAACACTAAATGTCACATTGTTGGATTAAGAAGTGAATCATTTCTCTTCTGTCCCTCAAGGATTTCAGAAATCCATACTCATTTTTTTGGAAATGGTCATTTCTACTCTTCTCTGGAATAAGTAGCAAATAGTGGAACTTAAAAGCTAATGCTGTCATACTATCCCCATGCTCTCTTGTTACCCACAGCTAGTGCTGTACTCTCAGATTTTTCAGGAGACCCCCTCTTGACCCTATCCTGTAGGCTCCCTGTGCTCCCCGTACCCCTCACCTTCACTCCTTTCCTTGGCACTTGCCAATAGCTCTGTCCAATCATGTGCTTTGCTTCCCTGTACAGCTTGTGCCCTCCAGGAACAGAGAAGATTCCTGCTGAAATATTTTCCGTTAGTGCCTTTGAAAGCTGATTAAGTGTAGCCTGGCAGTATTTGACAGATTCCAATTCATTCTGTAGCAAGAAATCCTCCTGCTTATCCTTTATGATTTCCTGCAAGGGAAATGTAGAGAGATGTCACCAGAAGAAGGGAACAAAAGAGATACAATTCCAAAGAGTCTGGTAAAAGGATTGGTCTAACTGTGGTCCTCAAGAGAAAAGCATTTCATTGGAGAAGGGCATGGAATAAAATAGGAACCACAAGACTTGATTTACTCACTACCCTGAAAACTCTCTGCAAGACTATGGGAAAGCTGCGTAACCTCACTGGGTCTCAGGTTCTTCTTCTGAAATGTTGGAGTTGCATTACCATCTCTGTGGTTCTTTGCATCCAGTGATTCCGTCTTGCATGAGACAGTGACAAAAGAAGCAATTAAGTTAAATAGTGGCCTGGAATGAGGGTCTAGTAAGAGAAATTTCAGTTGTTGGCATGGGAGTGTGTTCACAGAAATAACAACCAGCTCAGGAATGACTTTCTGGGGAGGCTTGGAACCATATACTGATTTTGCCTCAGAGATCAGAAATAGAGAGATTTCTAGGTACAACAGTCCTTGAGGTTTGGGAGAAAATAGAAAGGAAATTTAGTCCTTTGAAACTCCATCCCTCTTGACAATCCAACTACTTTATCCGTAAGTGAGAGATCAGCAGTGGGGTTAATTAAGGCATTTCTAGGCTTCCTTCTTCAAGGGGAAGGGTGACAAAGGGTAAATCTTAAGACATCCTACCACAAGATTCTTCTGAAACTCTTGATTTTCATCCTTGAAGGAGTGCTCCATAAAGACTGCAATGGCTTCCCTCTCACAGGCCATGTGCACGTCCAGCAGCTCCTGGAGTGTATCTGTGGGGAGCCTCACTCGCTGGGCCATCTGCTCACTGTAGCAGTCGGCTGCCTTCTGCACAGCCGCTGAGTTCTCAAGCTGGGCCAGAACTGTTATTGCATTCTCCAAGCAAGGCACTGCTCCACTACTGACAACATCCACATAGTTCACCACCAGAGTCCTCAGCCCTGAGTAAGCCAGGAAATCAAAGAGATAAATATCAAGTTATCACTCGGTAGGATCCAAGATTCTGAGATGTCTCATACACACGCACACGCACACACACACACACCTGTCTCTTTCTACTATCATCATCAGTTTCCTATTGAATCTTCATCTCCATGGTTCTCCAGGCAACAGGGCTAAAAATAAAAATAAAATCTGCCTTCATCTAACATAGTAAGGTTATCTGGAAAACATAATTTCCCATTAAAAATTAAAAGCAAAATGGATTATACAGGTAGGCAGAGGAGACAGGGTAAATCAGATCATATGCTGAAGCTTCCAATGGATTTTCAAGGACTTATGAGCTAATATTTATTTTTAGATGGCTCTAAACTTCCAAAATGTCTTTTGTATTTTCCTTACAAAGAACACTTACCATATAGAACTTACCCTGAAAAAAATAGCATATTCTATTTTTAAACCCAGTTAGTGATTTTTATTACCAGTGGGGGATATTTTGAGATAAATGAAAGCCACAGATATCAGTGACATTTCCAATTGGGGGAGGGATTCACAAGCCTCCAAAAGTGAGGTATAAAATACATTTGTTCACAGAGCATGAATGTCTGTATACCCAGAAGTCCACACAGAATCAAACAAAAATTCTGAAAAACACATTATATAATATGTTCAACATTTATTAGCTCCCACAGAAATGTGAAAAGGAGACTCACGATTCCCAGTCACTATGATTCCCTCTCTGAGGGTCTTGGTCTTTGCATGGGTGAAGATGTAAGAACAGAAATTGTTTGTTTGCTCTAGGAATTGAGGATCCAGTTGATCTTCACGCACATTCTCCATTTTGGCTAGGAGTTTTTTGTCATTTGTTGGGCGATCAAAGACAAAACACTTCCTTTTTGGAAAGAAATGCCTGATACATTCTCTGGGTAGATTGGATGCTTGGATTCTGGGATTGTTGCCTGAAGGATAGGGAAAACAGAGGTTATAGTGGGAACGGTCTTGAGGCAGGGAGCTCAAGCTTCCTACGATAGGGACTTCGGTCTCATTGCCATCTTCTTATAAGTCTTCAGCATAGACATTCAGTGCTTCTTTTCACTTCAAACTCATACCGATGACATGACTGCAGAGAAATTTGAAGAGACATCTGATTCAAGTAAAAGAAACCTATGGCTGGCCTCCCTAGACCTGGACATGGTAGAGTAGGTGTCCATTAGATGTTTACTGAATGAATGGCTAAAAGAAGAAAAGGTCAAATGTAACTTTTTGGTCTAATGTAGAATTTGAACTGTGGGATCAAAAAGAGCCACAAACAAGGGGTAATGGTACACTATTAGCAATCATAATATTAGGAGTATTATGAATGAAACCCTGATTATTTAAGGAAAACTGATGCTAAAAGTAATTTGTACAATGGTAGCTATAGCAAAAAGCCTCTGAAGAGTAAATGTAACTAAAATGCAATTTTAAGATATTACCACTACTTTATAAACTCTTTGAGGTACTTTATGTTTGAGTTAGCAGGATTGCTCTTCTACATGGTCAGTTTCTCCATAAATGCTTTGGGAAAGCATAAATAGAAAAATGAAAGCAAGAATGGGTAAATCTGAATTGATCTTTCTCTCAGGGTTTCATCAGTTACACTTTATTATAAATGTAACCCATTGAAATATATTTTTTGAAATTATAGCATGGGTAAATATATGGGGATTAAGAGACAGTTATGATAAGGAAGTTAAATTAATGTTCTGGTAATTGTCAGGAATATTGGAAAGGCATAGATTAAAAAGACATACACTTCTTCAGGTTTACTTAGAACATGTCATTTTTCTATATGATATACCGATACAGGCACTAGAAAATTATATCCATCTTTGAGAAGGTTAATGTCTGTGTAAAATGTACTTTTTTTATAAGATAGGCTCTTCATTGTAATTTCATTCCTAGCGTATATTTGGTCAGTTGTTTTCTTCAGCACAGAAAAACAGATGCCAAAATAGCAAACACAAGTGTCTGGTTTTTAGAAGGTTTAAGCACCTACTGTGATTTGGATGCTAAATCACAACAAATTGTTTGAAGAACAAATTGGTTTTGAATAATTTCACTCTTCTTTAGGTTCTACTTTTCTTAAGTAAACTTAAACTACAGTCCCTAGAGCTTTGCAACCCACCTTCCAGTCACTATTTCTAGAACTTCAATCTAGTTTTAAATATAAAAGCAATCCCAAAGATGATAGACAGTGATTAGAAGCTCCCACCCTCTATTTGACCATCCACTGCCCAGGTAGACTCTGATACCTGGGATCAACTTCAAGGAATTCTCCAGGTACTCATCTTCTGTGATAGGATAACCATCTAACTTCAGCTCCAGGGTAAAATCCCGTACAGTCCAGATAAAGTCTGGGAAGAAACTCACAAATTCTGTGGAATCTTCTACTCCATCTTGTCTTAAGGAAGACTTTGCCCGGATTAGTTCTGTGAGCTCTGTCACGTAACTAGAACTTAGTTAAGGAAAAGGAACTTCCTACCCACAGTTTCTACATTTCTCTAATAAAAATTTATTATAAGCCCTCTCTTTTGCCCTGGGTCCTCTCTGTTCAACAGAAAGTAACTAAATGACAAGAAATTTATTCAATTCAATGAAACTTGATGGTTTAGGTCCTGCAAGGATACTGCAGCTGCTCCAGGGCCTGGTGGTTGATGGTATTTATGCTGTTATAGACAAAACTGCTGCTCAGAAGCACGGCCAGGGCAAAGATCCACGAGTCATTCTTAAGGTCACCCTAGGAAGCACATTGAGTGAGAGATTGAAGAGTTTACTCTTTAGAAATTGATTCAGGCATGTATTCTATTAGTCTTCTATTTTTTTTATTTCAGCTAATGTATTTGCTATCTGTTTGAAGACAGACACAAATATTTTGACAATTACAAAGACATTTCTTATGATTGCCAATTTATATATATATAAAGACTCTAATATTCACAAGGATTTCTTTTTCCACAGTAGGACGAAATAAAATACTAGAAAAACTAGTATGGTACCTGGTACGTGATTAGGTTTCCAATGATGAGTGTTAGCACTTACTCATTTTACACTTACTCATTGGTCATAGGCCATATAAAACATGCCAGAGCTAACATAGCTAGGGATTCAAATTATATCCAATTTAATTCATCAAATGTTTATGGGAAGCTATTGAATATATCCCACTGTTAAAGATTTTAAAAGTAAAATGACCACCATTATTTTCAAATTGACTATTTCAAAGTGATGATAAATATCTGAACAATGAATACAACAAAGATGATGGTACCTATATGTCAAGATATTAGTAATCTTACATCTTAATAATTTGTATCAGCAGTGGAGCCTATAACTATAATGTTAAATTATAATTTAGAATTCTATCAAGGAAGAACAGAACTATCAAAGTTGAAAGACCTACTGGAAGTCTTGGGCTGAGTGTTAAAGAATTGGTAGAATGTAGACATGAAGAAATGAAGGTGATCCCACCTGGAAAGACTCACAGTAGCAAAATTAGAGGTGGTAGAATACAGGGATCTTTGCAACAAAAATAGTTATTTGACTTGACTGGAGTGGAGGGCAGGCACAGAAGTTAAGGCTTGATGAAGCTCTAGTGCAGCCTGATGGGGGCCTTAAAGGCCAGGCTAATCTGTTTGTCTAAGTAATAGCATAATCCACAATTATTTCAACTATACACAGCATGTGAAGCTGTTTCCTAGAGCCAATGAAAACACTGGGATTGATGCCTAGAAGACATTATATGGGAGTTTGGGGGGAAAATAGCCTATTCATTACTATATTTTCCCAAATACCAATTTTTTTAAGTAAGCATTTAGAATAAGAAGTGGCACTTATGACAAAGCAAATTATTTAGACAACAAGGCTATATCAATGTTTGATATATGGCTTTAAAATTTAAACAGAATTTCTAACTATCCTTTGGGTAGAAATGGACAGCTACAGAAATTTAGATACTATTTCCAAATGTGTCTCAAATAAGGCACGAATGGAGAAATCATTCATTTCACCCATCAGTAGAAATCCAAAATACCAAAAGCCCATATAAAATGTTTGTTGTAGGACAAACACGTGGTGTTCTAGAACCATCACATTCACAGATCTCAAAGCCTCTCTGAATGCTCTGTGGGTAGTTGATGAACTTCACCATGGGAACTGTGAACCCAACTCTAATTTCAACCCTCAAATACACACTTCATCTGGTAGCTCAGAAGGTGAATCAGAAATCTTTCTTCATCCCTGGGATGGAGTTGATGTTTCTTCACTTTCCTACCAAGGCACCCTTATGTGTAACTGCTTGTGATAGGAACTGTAATGTCCATCAGCCCTTTCAAGACTAAAGGATTTATTCCCCCGGCTATTAGGAGTGCTGATGGAAGACAGCTCGCAAGTTTCACTCCTCTTAATTAAAATAAGTCTCCTGGAGCAGCTGTTCCATGATTTATCAGCACCTTCATCCCATCTCAGGATAACTCAAAGGGCCAAGGCAGCCACAGAGCTCCCATGGAACCTACAGAAGTCAAGTATTGCACTGCAGTCCAGCTCTTCCCTCTCTCCAATCTGCTTCTTTCCCAGTCACACTTTATTACATCTGACTGCATGTGTGTGATCTTTTCAACTGAACTGAAGAGTCTGAGGGCAAGACCTTTGCTTTGGTAACTAATATTCACAGCACTAAGACCAGAGGCCTGCAACTCAGCTGTTCAATAATCATTTATTAATTTTAGTCAAATAATTCACCCAGTGCCAAGAAAGAATTTATCTAATACACCATGTCTTATCCCACCTAGAAGTAAGATTCAAACAAACCAGTTTGCATCATTTGCTATAGTTGAATTTCTAGATTTTCCAAAAAGATCACAATAGTTAACTTTTAAAATATCAAGAATAGATAAGTAGAAAATCCAGAATAGATAGGATTTGTCTGTGACCCTGTGCCTTACCTTTGCCAAATCCCCCAGGCCCTCGGTGTCCAGAAGGACCAGGGTGTGGTTCGGCATGGAGGGGTGAGGCACACACCACATCCAGATGCCCTTGGTTTCAGACTGCACTGTGGAGCCCAGAGGGAAACCTGAAGGGAAGAGGAGAAGGCAACATACATCAACAGATTTCCTCAAGACTTTCTTCTTACTTTGTGTGTTGTCTATTTCCAGGAGAAGAGGATGTTAACTATGAGAATGTGCCAATCAAGGGCTCAGGGTGGAGACAAAGAGGTATCCATGAATCAGACGGAACAGAGGTCACTGATAACCATCACAAGTGCATTTTGAAAGAATGGTGAGGTTCAAGGCCAGAGGAAAGTGGATTGAGAAGAGACATGAGAAGAGAAAAAATGGAAAAAGGAAATTGAAATCATATTTTTTTTTTTTGCCAGACAACATGATTAACAGAAAAGGGATTAGGGGGAAGGTTGGTACCCACAGTGGGATGTGAAATCCAGGCAAGGTTTTTTAAATGGTAGATATTCAAACACCTTTATATGTTGATGGGAATATTCCAAGGAAAACAAAATGTGTTTTGAGAGAGAGGAGATGCAGTTACAAGAGCTCAGTGCTTGAGCAGGTAAAACAAGACAGGATTCTGAGCATTAGGAGACATTTTTTTTGACAGGAGTAAAACAAAAAGTATGATAAGAGATTAGAGTCAGGTAGTAATTTAGTGGTGAGAATTAGAATTTAAAGACTGGTTTTTTTGGGAGGTATTTGGTCCTCCCTTTATGTGACCAAGGAAGAAAATTAAGAAGCCAAGATATAGCTAGAGTCAAGAATTGGCCCCTCAGTACAGTCCTCACCGCAGTTCTGTCCTGCAAGGCGGTTCATCAAGTAGGATTTGCCTGTACGGTACAGTCCTACAATGGCCACCACCACCACTGGCTGAGAAATCTTGTCAAGAATCTCTATCGCTCTCTGGTTCACTGACAGCTGCTCATGGTTGTTTTCCACCAGACAGATGGGGACCGTCATGTTGGGTCCAGATGCCATGGCACCCTGCCAACCTAGATGAACCTCCCAGGAAAAATAAGGTTACAAAGTCATTCTCTGATTCAGAGCCATAAATATAGGACTGGGTGAGACCTCTGTAGTTTCTATGGGGCAAAATGTAACCTACAGTTAGACTGCAGAGGGCTTCTTCTATCATGTTCCCAAATCTCTGATGATGTCAGTGATAAAACATAGGGTATTATTACTCCCCAAGTTTTATTGCATCAGTAATTATAAAATTCAAGCAGTTGTCACTATGCATGGAGGTTTACCCACCATCTACCAAGCCCTGTGATACACACCTGGCTTCACTAATATAAGACCCTGCAAATCAGAGATCATTGGACCCACTTTGCAAATGAGATTAGCAAGTCTTACAAAGGCTAAGTGAATAAATCATAGAGCCAGGATAAAAAGTCTAGACAATTGAGCAAAATGTCAGACTAGGAAAATCTAAGCTCTTGTTTCCCCAAGAAGACATCAAAACAACAAACATATTGGCTAGAATAACCTGAAAAACAGTCAAAGGCCTAAAGCAACCGAGCACACAGCCAATCAAGAAAAAGCCACATTCAGGCCAAGTTTAAACTTCTTTACGTAAGGACCCCACAGGTCGGGGGGCATCGATGGACTGAGACACATGCAGAGGGAAGACCATGTGGAGTCGCAGGGAGAAGGCGACTGTCTGCAGGTTGGAGAGGCCTCAGAGGAAACCAGCCTTCCAACACTACGATCTTGGATGTTCCAACCTCTAGAACTGTATGCGGCAAGAGACTTATGGCGAAGAGTCAGCAAAGATGCTCATGGTGAAAATGCCGGACATAGGTGCTTCTTGTGTCCTGGTGCCACTCTGTGCAGCCAGTACAGGGACCGAGCCCAGGACTTGGAAGCCCTGAGGGGACCCACGCCTTTCCAGCACAGCCACTTTCTAAACCCAGCACCCAGTTGCTGGAGTGACCCACGCATGGCACACAAGAGCCCTCAGAGGGATATTCCCAGGGCACTTTATCAAATCGGTGTTCTGGACCTTCAGTTATGGTTGCAGGATGATGCATTAGAAGACCAAACAAATTAGTCCTTAGGACAGATGTCCCAGGGTAAATCAACCCCAACAACAAAAAATACAAGCTTTCAAACCAACAAGAGAAGATGAGATTGTAATGTCTTTCTAATAACGTTGCTGTATTAGTACAATACAAGGAAAACTACCTTAGATTCTACTGATTCTTTTGGACCTAATAGTAGTTTTTTTTTTTTTTTTCAGATCTAATTCACACACCACTTCCTTCCCAGATCTTTCTCAGGAGCTGAAAATTGGCCAGTTACAAACAGCCAGGGTTCTGCGGTCTTTTGAAATCACAGAAGTGAATGTGTTTTAGAACACAGAAGACACCAAACTTTCTTTGGGAAAAAAGGCATACTTGGTAAAAGTATCTCACCTCTAAGCAAAATTGAAAGCATGTATTATTTTAGATTTATTTGACTAAAAGCCTTTCTTGGGGCTAGTTTCAGAACCCATTACTGTTGGCACCACTGAGCCAATAAAAATCCAGGAGGGAAGAAGTATCACAGTAACCCAGAGAAACAAAGATGTTCATTTTTTTAAAAAAGCACTGCATTAATGTTTACACCTGAGTGAAATTATTTATACATACGCTACAGGTTTTGCATCCCCAGAATTTGTTAGCATTCAGTGTATGATAAATTGTACCTGACTTACTTGTGAAAAATCATCTCAAGAAAGAGTTTTTTCCAACGGAAAAATATGTAGATGACATGGTGGTGATTACTGAAATTGTTCTTCAGGTGTACAGCTAGAACAACGCAGTAGAAGATGTCACAGTTAAGAACTTTGGCTTTGGGCCAGTGTTATAAGTACTTAGCTGAGAAGGGTCAGGTTTTCTGCAACTTATTCCATGAATGAGAATGGGAATAAGAATAAAAAGGCAAGTATCATTTACATTATAAAGGGAGACATATCATTGTATTTGGAAAGAGGAAGCAAGTCTAGCAAAATGTCACCAGTGGATGAATCTAGGGAACGGGTATATAGGATTTTCTTGTAATTGTTTTTCAAGGTTTGTTTAACTTGAAAATTTTAAGTATCAAAAATACAATTATTCCTTGGTCCTCTGGCACATTTTTTATTGCATTATGTTGAAATGGTTTTCTGTAATATCCAAGTATTTTTCATAATCAGAATATGTAAAAATGCTAATATATTCATTTGCCTCCATTATTCAGTTTTATATTTATATGTCAAATATTCAAAATGCATCTAATACCATAAAAAATACTAGCTCTGTCATTTACTATTTGTGTGTCCTTAATAAGGAGCCTCACCTAGCTAAGCCTAGGTTTTTAAAGATAATTATAGGGTTAATGTGAAAATAAATTATAGATCAAACCTGGAGGATATTTTTATAATTAAATTGGATACTATAAGCTTTTATCTCAGCATAGCATGTAGCACAAAATAGGATTGCAGTATTTGTTTGTTGAATAAGTGGAGAATAATCGCACTGAGCAAATCGGTCCCCTGGGTTATACATTTCAACACAATCTGCAAACTGTAGACTACTAAGAAACAAGTTCAACACATATTTCTTTATGAAAGCAAAACAATAAGCAATTTGAAACACACTGCTCCTGTACTATTTCTTTTTGTCTGGTTATTCAGTGTGGAGAGCAAAGAATATGGAGCTAAAACATGAGCCTCTAACAGCTACGTTCTAGTGATGGAAATTGTTCAATGCCTTCTTTGGAGTGAAGATGAAATAACGCTGAGAAGATGTGACAGAAACCACTGCAAACGACTTTATAAAAACCAGGTCTGTGGTTTCTTAGCTGTGAATGAGCCACAGAATTTTTAATGTCAAATTAACAAAGTGCAACTGTTCCATCCTGGTCAGGACTAGTTTTCAAAATTTGATCTACTTAAGAATCATCTGATAGGGTGGTTAAACTCAGATTCTCTATGTTTAAAAAATGGTGCAGGTGACTTCGATGTTCCTATGAAAACTAACAAAAACCAGAAAGAGAGGTAGTAAGAGAAAGAGAGAGAGAGAGGAAATGAAAGATAGTTTTGACTAGTTGTTTTTAACAAATAAATATCAGTGATGTGGAGATGAAATTTACTTGTATTTAGAAAGTTACAGAACTCTCAATCTGAAGCTTTCTTAAGAATGCTAATAGATACAGAAACTATCTCTTTCTGTTATCACTGCCTTTAAGCTCCCTAATGCACTGTCTTGTTCTGTGAATTCTAACATTTGCCATGGAGGCAGGCAAGCTACTGGTCCAAAAGGAAAGGGTGACTCACGCAGAACTAAAGCCAGTCACAGACCTCTACAGGCCAGACAAAAGGCAGCCTGTCTTCCTGAGCATTTCTTGGTAGTCATTTTGAATCAGAAATCAAGTCTCGAGTTCAAGAAAAAGTTACATGTGAAAGAAAATAGACATACCTGCCCTGCAACACCACGGTCCAAGAGCAGTTCTCAGCTGCCTGTCATCTCACTTGAGCCTTTCAACTCTCTGAATGGAAATTGTTCAATGCCTTCTTTGGAGTGGACTACAAAGACTACGAAAGACTGAGGAAGTGAGTCATTTCTACTAACAGCATTGAAATTGAAAGCAAAAGTAATTTGTGGGTTTTTTTATGGATGCCCTGAATGGGAGCATGAATATGGCTCAGAAAAAGTGACCCTTCTCCGCTAAGTACTTCAGCCTGTTTCTGAGACGAGGTCAGAAAAAATCCCTTGGCTGCTCAGCAGTCACATCTTAGTGAACAGACTCCACCAGCTTTCTTTTGCTCTCCCCATCTTGGAAGGCTTTCCTGGCCTCTATTTTTTTTTTTTTTACTTGATAAATGTTAGCAATTTATTGAAGCTCATTGAACAGGATGGATAGGAATTATTTATCCACAGGGTTTATTTCCTTCCATTTTGTTCTTTAATTTTTTGTTGTGTTTTGTTTTACTGTCTTTCACCATACTGAAGTTTTTCATTTTTATACAGTTAAATCTGTCAATCTTTTCCTTAGAGGAAAAGATTCTAATACCATGCTCAGAAAGGTCATTCTCACTCCAGGATTTTAAAGTATTTTTCAACATATTCTGCCAATCCTTTTATAATTTTATTTTTCACATTTAGATCTTTT